GACAAAACGATGCCAATTTTTACCAAAATATCACCACATTAATGCTAGGCAGTTGCTCATGTACCATTGGTGCAGCAAAATATAAACCTAGTTGGAGACAAAACGATGTCAATTTTTACCAAAATATCACGACATTAATGCTAGGCAGTTGATCATGTACCATTGGTGCGGCAAAATATAAACCTAGTTGGAGACAAAACGATGTCAATTTTTACCAAAATATCACCACATTAATGCTAGGCAGTTGATCATGTACCATTGGTGCAGCAAAATATAAACCTAGTTGCAGACAAAACGATGCCAATTTTTACCAAAATATCACGACATTAATGCTAGGCAGTTGATCATGTACCATTGGTGCAGCAAAATATAAACCTAGTTGGAGACAAAACGATGTCAATTTTTACCAAAATATCACCACATTAATGCTAGGCAGTTGATAATCTACCAACGGCACAGCAAATTATAAAACTAATTAGAGACCAAACGATGTCAATTTTTACCAACATATCACCACATCCATTCTAGGCAGTTGATCGTCTACCAATGGCACGGCAAATTATAAAACAAACTAGAGACTAAATAGTGTCGATTTTGTACCAAAATATCACCACCACATTCAAGCTAGGCAGTTGATCATCTACCAACCAATGGCACAGCAAATTATTATAAAACTAGTTGGAGAGCAAAAGATGCCGGTTTAACCAAAATATCAAAGCATTCATGCTAGGCAGTTGATCATCTACCAACCAATGGCACAGCAAAATGTAAAAATTGTTGACCAAACGATGTCAATTTTTTTACCAAAATATCAAAGGCTTTCGTGCTGGGAAGTTAATCATCTACCAACAGGAAATCAATTAATAAGGTGCCTGTTTCAAGGACACGCGCGCATCCCTGTGATGTAATAGAAAATACTACTGTAGTATGGAAAGAAGAAGGCTCCACGAATCAGAGCAACAAGGACGGAGAAGATATATACCTGCTGGTGCTGGGTGCGAAGCCCCTCCCCTGGATGCACCGCCGGGCGCAGCATCCTCTTGGCCGCCGCGCGGAGGGAAGCCGCCATCGTCGCAGGCCTGCAGACAAGCACGAGTCAATCACCGAAGAACCGAAATCAAGCCGGGTGCGGATCGGAACTGCTGGTTAGGGTTCGAGGAATCAAGCCTACCTTGCGGATCGGATCGGATCGGAGCGCGGTTAGGGTTAGGGTTAGGGTTCCTCGCTGTTCGCCTTCCGCCGCCGAGGAGGAGAATCGATCCTACCCACCATACCAGGGGAAGGGGGCCGCGCAAGTAATAAATACTTGCTGGGCCAGCAGGCCCAGCCATCTATGAGAAAGCGATCCACTTACCAACCATCGTCGGCCCTATGTCTCGCGTCTGCCTAGCCGCTCGGCAGGCTACGGCATCGTTTCCTTGTTTGTTTTTCATTTCGTTCTTTATTTCATATATATCCGTTGTTTCTAAAAACAACATTTACGTTTATACTTTTAAATATTCCTAATAATATTCTAAATAAGTTTATATCACACAACATTTTTACATAAAAAATCGGAAAAATGCTAACTGAGCATTTAAAAAATGTTGAATGCGCATAGAGAAAATGTTTCACATGCATACAAAAATGTATACAATGTGTGTGAAAAATGTTGATTGTGCATCTAAAAAATGTTAATTAAGCATATGACTAAAAAAATATTTTAAAAATGATAAACAAGCAGTTAAAACATGTTGACCATATATTTATATTTTTTTAATCTGGTAATGTATTAAAATTGTTAAATTTATATTTGTGAAATTTTGATCAATCATTCATTTACTAAATGTAAAATCTATATAGAAAGAATATTGACCATGTATTGAAAATGTTAATATTACATTGGAAAAATGTTAATCAAGCATTTAAAAAATATTAAACGTGTATTGGGAAAATGTTCTTCACATATATGAAAATTTTAGAATGAAAACTAATAGAAAGAAAGAAAAATGAAAAAACAATGAAAATTGAACAAGTAAACCAAAGGAAAAAAGAATGAAAAATAAAACCGAAAAAATGCAAAAACAATTTAAAACTATGAAAACTCACCCTGTGCATTCGGTTTATTCGTTTTACATGGTTCGTTTATATGTTTTTTTGGTTTGTACAGTATTAATACTTTGGTAAATACGGTATGAAATTAAATATGATTCGGTTTCTATATATACCAAATTATTATGGTATGGTTTTGATATATACCATCTCTACTCCTAACGGAGCAGTTGGTAGGATTGCATCCCTCACTTTCGTCCGGTTTTTTCGACTTGACTTTTTTTTGTCCCCTCCCCCCACTTCACCGGTTTATTTTCGTGTCACCCATCTCACACAATGAAAAAAAATCTAAATAGATCAGAACTTTTTCATGCTTGCGTAAGTTATTTAGTAATGTCTTTATGTAAAAGAATCAATGATGATTAATATCTAAAGGTCAAATCAAATTGATCATGATCAATATCTAAAGATCAAATCTAAATTAATTAACCTTACCTTAAATCGCTCAATCACGTTAATTAAAAAACAAACAATCGATTTTAAGAAAAAAATCACTCAATCATATTGATTAGGAAACAAATAATCAATTTGAAGAAAATTAAGGTGTAAATCATAACAAATAAATCTTTACTAAAGCATATTATGTACCTACTTAATCTCTCTGTACCACCACCCTTTGTACCATTGGTTTTTATCTATCTACAAGGAAATTACACAAGAAAAAAAAACCAATTTGCCACTCCTCCTGTCCCGAACGAGATCACAAATGGTCTTCATGTAGCTACAGTATTGTTCACTCAACCCATAAAAGCTTCAGGTTACAGCAAACCAACTGAAAAAAAATACAAATCACAAATACTCTGCCTTCATGCAACTGTAATTAATTGTTTTCTCAATATATGATACACAAATAATTCTCTTCACTAAACTGAACTGAACTGCCATGTCCGTCCTCATCTACATCCGATTGGCAAGGTACAGAAAACTGCTGCAACAAACCTATACACTTCACGATAGGGCAAACACACAAATTACAATGACATACCCAGAACACGCCTAGTGCTGACAGCTCCTACAGGCTACAACCAATGAATGAGTCATGCCCACGCATGTCACGTATGAACAAAAGAGACATACTCACTGCCATCATGCGTGTCTGCCGATTCTACCTTGAGATTGCAGCAAGCAAGCAACTGAAAGGATATAATTTGAATCACAAATGGTCTTAGCCTCCATGCAGCTACAATATTCAGTGTTCTCTCAACGCACCCATGAGAGCACATGTATAGATCACAAAAATAGTATGCTCATAATAATTCACAATGCAAGACACTCCTTCTCGGATGCAATTCTTCGTTCATGCTGCAGCATCACTGTGGATCCATTGCCAGCCAGGGCTTGTCGGCCTGCCTGCATAGAAAGGGAGCTAGTAAGAGCCAGCTTTACCTTTAATAGGCAATGTTCTGCTTAGCACACTGATAACATAAATAGGTGCAAGTATCGACCAGCTTAGCCCTGGGCGACTCGGGGGCGACCCAAACCTAGGAGCCGCCCCACCGCCCTCTCCTCCTCCCCTCCTCGCGCCGCCGCCGGATGAAACCCGCGTGGCAGACGGCGGCGGCGGCCGGGCGGGAGGGGGGGGGGCTTCCTCTCCCGACTCCCCTTCCTTCGCGGGCGATGGATCTAGGCGGCAGGCGGCGGTGTCCTGCGGCGCTCACGGTCGGGCGCGAGGTGGCACTCGGCGAGCGGTGGCGGGGCGTGGGGCGCGCGGCGGCGGGCCTCGGCAGGCGGTGGCGGGCGCTGGGCGAGCGGCGGCGCTCCAACATGTGCAGGAGGCGGTGGCCCCTGTGCATGGTCAGCGGCTCCCTCTCCGACCCGGACGTCGCGCGGGGTGGTGGCGGCCCGGCGTGGCCGGTGATTTGGACGCGGTGGGGCCGGCGGCTCGCTGGTCTGCCGGAGATCCAGGGGCATCATCATCTCCGTCTCGATCTACTCTGATACAGGGAGAATGTCGTCATCTCCCGGTGCTGGCTACATGGATCTGACGGCGACGGCTGGACCCTTGGTCTAGTCTTCGACAGAGAAGGCGGCGGTCCGTACACAAGAAGCGGATGGAGGTCTTCGAACAGATCTAGGTGAAAACCTGCTCTTGGCTAGATGCCAAAGCCGGCGATGGCGGCGCTCTACGTTGTTGTTCCCTTCTTGAAGGCATCGCCGTGGAGAAGTTCTAGACTACGATCTGCTACCTCCGAGGGAAACCCTAGATCGATAGATCAAAAGACGGCGGCGCATTTGTGTCGTTTCCTCCTTGGGGGCGTCTTTCTTGGAGGTGTACACAGGCTCGAGGGACCAGTGGACGACGTCTTTGGTGGAGCGGTGCTTTATCATGCACATTGATGGTGATAGATCTCGATGGCATGACGCTCTGGAGATTGGGCATCTGATGTGGGATGATGGACTCGCGCAGGAGGGTGACGCTGTCTGGCGTCGTGGTGGCGTCGACGGCAGCTAGACCGGGCAAGGTAGATGCAGCAGTACAACTCTGAAAGGTAGATTGGTGGCAGGTGGCTGCAGCGGCTTCATACCCGGCAGGCGTCCTGGTTGAGGAGTGCGCCGGACTAGTGGGTGACCCATACCCGGCAGGCGTCCTGGTTGGGACCTTAGGTCTTACATGTTTAGGTTTGACTGCGAGGTCTGTTTGGTATTAGGCCCAGACTATCAGCATCCCTAAATCAACTGGATAAGAGTAGCGACTGATGTTGCCTAAACGGTGGCTTTAGTCTTACTGTCGTATGACTTTATAAGGTCTTGTGTGAATAATTAATAAAATGGCTGAATGCATCGTCCAGATACAGAGGCCGGGGGTCTTCCTTTTTTTCTAAAAAGAAAAATTCGACCAGCTTAGCTTTTTTCTAAGTAGTTTTAACACACACCGAAGGGATTTCAACTGACACTAATTATATAGCAACAAGGAAAGGAACTGCGACTTAAGGCACAGGTATAATAGCGAACAAAAAAGATTACCAGATTAATTCACTGGAGAGGGTGGTCTGGTCTGATCTCCTTAGGCCTTAGCTAGCTATATCATGCACTTTCTCCTTTCCTCGATCTGCTGTTTGTGGTCGGCGTGCTTGTTCCATGTTTCCATCTGTAGACAAGATGCAACTGCTGGTTTCAATTTCAGTTTTGAAAATATTTCAGCACAACCGAAATCATCGAAGTTCAGTGAATTTTTCAGTGATTTCGGTTTGCATTTCGCCCAAATGACCAAAATATTCACTTGAATTCAATTGGACATTTGAAATTTTTAAAAAATATTTGAATTCGTGTGCACTACTAAAATTGCTGAAATATTTTGGCCGAAATGTAACCTCACTGCTGCTGCTTGTTGTTCCTACTTTGCACTCATTGTGTGGATTAACCATACAAAGGTAAAATATAACCGACCATCATGTAGTATATATGGACAAAAGGCGGGAGATAAAATCAATTGAACTTATTAACTGGAAGAAACAGAGTGCTTAAACAAATTAAACAAAGCTTGTTTTGATTTTCTAGTGGTTTCTCTACAAAAGATAGCATGGTGTGGTAAACAAGCAGTTGTGTATCAATTGAATTACAGTTTTTTTATTATGAGTATGGTCGGTTATATTTTACCTACATATAAGCATCACGTCCATACATCTATAGACCGTTATCCAATTTCATCTATAGCTAGTATTTCATCCAGGACTGCTATCTGGCATGCATCTTAAGGTATTAAGTAATAAAACAGAGTATCATATTAAGTATGATGACATAAATGATATACTGTCTTCACTCTGCGTTCAAAGAAAAACTACGCACTCATCTTTTTATACCTAGTGGCAACAACATAATACAAGCCTTTTTTTCACTTTTTGTTACTATGGCAGATTGCTTGCGGGATTTAATCCAACTATCACACACAACTCCCTCGCCGCCCACACGACCAAAGGATGCAACCACCATCACCACCATGATGCTTGCCGAAGAGCCCAACAGGCGGACCTCCACTTG